GGCGGCGTGTGAAGTGTGTGTGTACGTGTTTACGTAGCAAGTCTGGCACAAACACACACACCGTTTTCACAGTCGATCCCCCAACAATGAGCGCGGTTCAATAAATGATCTCTATGCGGTTTCTGTTTCAATTTCATGGAATTTATTCTGATTTTGACATTGTTGCCGCGCTTGCACGATCGATTGTGTGCATTGCGATGAAATTCACATGTTTCGTTTTTTTTTCATTTCTTTGCTCGCTTTTCGCTCGCATTTTTAAATAATGCATAAATTGACACGATGTCTTTGACTTTTGAGATTCAGTTCACATTTTACAGCACCTACATAAATGCATCGATGGCATTGTGTGTTGTTGTTGTTTTCACTGTCGTATTTTTTTTCATTACTGAACGAGGCTAATTAACATCTTAAGTAACATTATCCACTTTGATGCGATTACACCTCAAGATCTCTTTCTGCAGCATAGAAAATAAGCTACAACATAAACATGTAGCATTCATTACTCATGATTTATCTAATTTTCCGAGCAAATCACTTCTCTGAATATTGACCGCAATCTAAGTGTAACTCATTTTTTAATGAGCTCGCCAAGGAGCATTGCTGCATTTATATTACTCAAGTGACATGATTATGTCTACTTATTGCAATTCTGCATACCGCAAAGTCCAGAGCCAAATTGGCAAAAGTGGTGCTAGTCAGCTGAACGTTGAACTTTACATACACCAAATGAGACACCAGACACAAAACGAGAAACAGTTGGTGAGGGGAAAAGAAGAGAGAGAGAGACAGAGCATTGAATTTGTAGCATTTCGCAGTGCAAAATGCAAACTGTAACTTAATATCGATGCTGACATTATGCGGCTTATGTAATACGATTCAGAGTTGAATGGTTTTTTTTCAATTTTCTGCATGGCTCAAATTGAATGCTGAAAAAAACGTCGTTTTTATGCGATTTTAATCGGATTTGGCGCCCGATTTCGCTATGTTCATTGAACAATATTTCTACGTCTCCACAGATAATTGGATTTCCTCGATTTTTATCTACCACTTCACTTTTTTCACGCTCTCTCTCTCTCTACGCCGTATTTTCGATCATTGGATGTATGCTATCTAACAACGCTTTGATGAACTTCGTGGTGTGTGTATGCACGAAATCGAGACTCGACCATTTCATTTGGGTTCATCATTGGCCTATGCTTCATGCTCGATTTTATTACATTAGGCCCACTGTGAAGCGCCTCTAATGTAGACCTCACAACCCATTTAGATACGCTGTGTTGTGACATGGCCGCGAAGAAAGTTCACGATGTTCGAATTACCGGAAATCAAATTTTGCACTTTTTTCGCGTTCGTGCATGTCAATGGGCTTGCTATCGGGAGATTCGAATGAATTTCAATTAGCACAATATCCAAGCATGCAAATCAAGCGATGAAATTGCAGATTTTCTTCCACTTTATTCTTCAACTGTTTGGATTTGGCGGCACGGGAAATTCACAGCGAATTCAAATTCCGAAAACATCGAACAATTGCTATTTCCCTCAAATTCTTTTCAAATAAAGACGAAAATAACGCACAGCATGATGATATTCAATTCTGTAATGCGATTTGCTGATGATCACAATCTATTAGCCGAATTTCAAACGGGCGGATTTCCGGCACACATAAATCATACCACAACTTCATCCGTCGTGTCTAAAACAACTGCTACTGCAGTCATTCTAAGTAAAGGAAAGAAATTTCACATCGTCACATTTCTTTTGAGTGCCTGGCAACACAAATCTCCGATTCAGATGTAGAAACAGAGAGATACAGAGAGAGCGTAAGAGGAAGGGAGAAAGAGAAAGATTGAGGAAAAATATTGATTGACGAGAATTTCTCGAAAATGGATATAATTTGATTTGCAGAGGGAAATATGGCGTATTTGTGGAAGTCGAACGCCAATTGTTACTGTCGCCGCTGCCATAACTCGAATTTTCAGCTTGACGACGTCCAAAACCGAAACACATACAATATGAGCAATGGAAAATTGCTCAATTTGAAATCGTCTGAAATTGGTGATGCCAAGAAATAAGGTGATTCTACATACGTATCTTAAGTAATAAATAATAACGTGCAATTTAATCGTGCATGCGAGATTGCCGATGAGGTCAATCAACAACCAAGAAGAATAGCACAAAAGTTGCCTAATTCAAACATCATGCATAAATCATACAAAGTGAATGTGACCATATCCGTTTAGCGAAGCAGCACCGATGCAATTGGTTGGAGCATAATGCTATGCGGGAGAGAGAGCGTTCAAGAATGGTTGGATTTTTCATTTTGTTTGCAAAATTCAAATTAATCGGATGGATCATGATTTCCATGAATGATACATCTCGAAAATGAAGTTGTCTGACGATGGTATTTACGCGAAGAGTTCGTTCGTCGGAAACAATGGTTTCGACAAGCTTCGCTAAAGTCAATTTGCGAAAATGTTAGCAAATGTTGTCAATAAAAGACAACCGAAGTGTGGAGTTGATGGTTCGATTGTTTTTGCCGAAGACAAAGTCATCGAAAAATCTGCTACCAAAATTGGAATAACAAAACTTAAATCACCTTCCAAATTAGTCGAAAATTACAACAAAAAGAAAACCAATCTAAATTTGTCAGCCGAACAATGAATTTGTTCGTATATGCTACGGTAATATACACTCGAAAAGTGCGAAAAACTCATCATCACGTCTGTTACAAATAATAAAATGTTCGAATCATTTGGCAAGTGCTGCTCAATTAAAATCGACAGAAAGTTAAAATAATCAATGGCCGAAAATGTTCGTCACGCTTTTACTATTGTTTTGATTTGTAAATTGTATTACGTTTTCCTTCTTTTTGTGTTATTTTCCTCTCGAAACTCACATTATCTGCACAATGTTTTGGGGGCAATGGTGCGATTTAATGAATTCTCTTTTTTTTTGGATATTATTTAAATTTGATACATAGAGAGTTTTAATTTCGAAATAGAAAAAAAAGCTAGTAGATTTTGTGGTGCGCACCTGCGTGAATATGTTTTTTACCACACGTTGCTCAAGATTTATTGAGGTCTTTCACTTGGCAGATAAGAATAATTACGGCTTAAGGTTTTTATCGCTTTACGCGCTCATGCTGCATTTTGCCCAGATTTCACTCTATTTATTCTTAAATGCGAGATCATTAAATATCCAAGTACGGCTACTTATACCTTATTTTTTCGCAGTTGGCAGTGTGAAACTTTTTCTTCGTCGGTGCGCGATTCACGATTTTATCGTCATCAAGCCATACATTCGCACGATTACGTAGATTATCTATGAAATGACTGCACTTTAAAATAGCTGTTCCTACAATAGAAAGTCGAAGTAGGCGCGTACACATAAATTTCTATGCTTCGTTGTCGATTGCTCTCAATGAATTCGTCGAGAAAAAAAACAGCAGCAACTGAATATTAACCTCACCAGAGAAAGAGCATATGTACTGTGCGCTCTATTCAGCAGTCAAACGAAATGTATTTTAATTAGATGTTATAATGAAATGGCTTTATGCTGGAGCACGACATACAGTAGCACGCATCAAAAATGTGCGTATATGCGATAACGACAATTGAAATTGAACGACACGAACACACGGCATATGTACACAAAAGATGGGCGAGAAGGCAAATTCAAAATGAATTTGCTACTACTGCTACTGCTGCTGGGCTTGATGGCTTTGAAAGCAAGTTCCAGGTATTCAATACTATACCTAGAATGGATTTCTCTTTCTCTTTGGGATTTTCTATACACAAAAAAAAACAATTTCCATAATCAAGCCGCGCAAAACCATTTGCCGTTTGCATGATGCAAAGCATTTCACATGGAAACTAAAATTTTCATCACGAAACGGTAATTTAACTTGACTACGATGCAAATGAGCGCGCGAGCAATGCTGTGCTTAAGACGGAGAATCTAAATGGAATGCTCACAGAGAATATGGCTAATTTTAGAGAGCAAATGGCAGGAAATTCATATGACGGCCTGAGAAGAAAAACCTTTCCTACAAAACCTGTGCGCAGAACACAAACACAGAAATTTTTTAGTCAAAAGGCGAACAGTAAATTTGCGAGCGCAAAAACCTAATATATTTACAGCGAGCGCAAAAGCATAACAGGCCTACTTATACGGAGTTTACATGCTAGTAGGCTTGTTATACTTTTGCGCTCGCTGGAAGTATATTAGGTTTTTGCGCTCGCAAATTTACTGTTCGCCTTTTGACTAAAAAATTTCTGTGTTTGTGTTCTGCGCACAGGTTTTGTAGGAAAGGTTCTTCTTCTCAGGCCGTCATATATGCATGCAGGTACATGGATAGATTCATGTTGCCTGCAACTGGTATTCTTGCGACGAAAAGCACGCCCGCTTACACACACAGAGGGAGAGAGACACGAAACGATTCTTATCGAAGCCAAACACGAAATGACGCTTTCTGTATTCTCTCTTTCTTAACTTTCGACTTGAGATTTTCTTTTATTCACCATGCCATCGTCGTCGTCATTGACGGATAAATATTTGCATTCACTATCGCTTCCCAGTTTTGGTGACCAGCCATTTCGAACAGATATTGTGACACAATTCCACTTTTCTATCTCTCTCATAGATTTATTATTCAAATGTTTACATAACACGTTGTTTTCTCATTCGTTCGACGTGTCAACCACCTTCACCATATTGATCATAAAATTTCATTTTTTGTGTCTTTTTCGTCCAGTGCATGTCTGTGGTGGCAAGTCAGCGCAGCGCCGCGATCAACTCACAATTAAAACAACTAAAATGTGGGAAGAAACTGTATAGATATTTGGGCTCAATGCAAACAATAAAAACAGGTCGTCGTGCAAATTGTGTGCATAGAAACTAACTTTTGTAACGGTACGATCACCTTTATTTCGGCCAAATCTTCGACTCAGTTGCGCCAAATGGAATTGTGGCGACGGAATGAAAAACACACACACAGAGAGAGACTGAGAATAATTCCGTTGTAGGCAAAGCAACTGTACATCATAATTGTTGACTGTTGAAAATGTGTATAGAGGAGAAAAAAAGAACCAGTGGATGCAACTGCATAAAACCTGATTAAAACTGACGATTTTTGCACAGTTTTTTTTCATCGCTCTTTCTCTCTGTGTGTCTCGCTTTTTTATTGCTTGAAAGTCAAAAAACGCAAACGAGAACATGATCAACATCAGCAGCATGTCATTTAAATGGTGCGATTCCACTGGGTATTCAATTTGATCATAGGCAACGTTTATCGCAATCTCAATGCACACACACACCGATCTCTTTTCGTCTAGAGAACATCAAATCGACTTTGGCGTATGCTATGCGATGCATTTCTTCGGTGCCCATATACAGACACACAGGCAAACACATACTTGTCGAGAGAGAGTTTCTACAACGAAAATGTGGCATAATTGCATTCGTCATTTCAACATGATATTTTCTCCGATTGAAATCACTTAGACCTACTTCATTCCACTTAACAATCGCATCGAATAGCACGATGAATTATTTCCGTTCGAAATGTGCTTCGTTCAACTGCGGCGCGTACGCGTCAACGGTATTTCGAAATATTGTCGTGGTCGAACGTATTCATAATGCGACTGACTGCATGACAACCACGATTCTGAATGATTATCTGTTTAAAAGCTGACGCCAGTTATTAATGAATATGTCTTCGGTGGGCCCTTCATGTAGGTATTTACGCAACGTTCGGTCGATGCAATTCAACACTAGTTCAATCGAAATAGTCACCATTGATTTCGAAATGCTTTTTTTTTCCTCTGTTCACAAGTTCAAAATGTCGGCTAATCAATTGAGAAAAGAATGTCGATTTTCTTACGAAAGTGATAACAAACTATTATGGGCTGTCGATATCTTTAAGTGACTCACTTCACTTTTTATCTATGTCGATTGTTTTTTCTCTTCTCATTTCTGTTCGTTTTGTGTTCGGTGACGAAAATGAGAATGGAAACGGCTTCAAGTATTACGCATACTTCACTTAAGAACGGGCTGCATTTCATTCCATTTAAATAATGTGTTAATTTAATGAATGTGCTCAACCTCGTGCGGTTAAACCGAAAGAAAAAAACATTCCAATGAAATTCTTCATACACACAAAAATAGACTCTTTGAAATTGCGTGAAATATTAAGTTCCCTTTGAACTTGTTGGGTGCTCGTATTTTCAGAACGAGATAACATGAAAGGCAAAACATCATTTGGGTGATTGGTAGTACGTCAGGCGTAAATGACATGTGCACAAGCATGCATGATGTGAACCGCAAAACCACACAACCAAAGTCATGACGCCAATGTACCTACGACCGGAAATATAATGTGTACGACGGAGAGTGTATGGCAGAGACAAATCTCGGAAGATTGGAGAAAATTGCGGTTGACAGTGGCAATAATGGTGTTTTTTTCAGTTACTTTATTCCAACCTTTGCGACTTTCTCGTTGCAACACAAAAGAAATGGCAAAAATGTCATGGAGAGTTCGCGGTATATCGGTTTTTATTGGCCAAACCAACACATGCAATTCACATCGATTCAAAGTCATATACAACCAGGGATAGACGGTCTCCTGCTCGACACATGGCACATAATATAAGAAAACTTAAAACATACAATCACTTGAACCTTTCCACATGAAAGAGAGCCCTGACAAACACACACACCGAGAGCGGAACAAGCAGAGATTCGATCGTGCTAAGTTCAATTTAAAGCGTCTTTATTATATCTAACGAGTTGATGGTATCACGGTGTGCATTTTGACCGCTTAAACTATACGTCAAAAGGCAGCAACGAGTCGAAGAACAAAGAAAGCACGAACAATACTTCAACTTGATTAAAATAATCCATCATAAAAAACAATAACCATTTCTGAGTGCAGCATGCTGCTATGGTTGTTGTTGTTGTTTTGATGGAAGAATATAAGACAAATACGCTCTTGTTGTTTACTTGTGCAGAGCAATTTTCTCTCTCTCTCTCTCTTTGTGTGTATATGGCTGGTGAAGGTGCTGATATTTCAGTAGCGTTCCGATCGAAGCCCATCTGAGCGTTTACTGCAAAATTGCTATGCTCCCCATAAACAAATTCGGTTAATCAACAATTATGGGAGATAGAGAGAGAGACTTTGAGGCTGCGAATAAAATTCAAAACTTCAAGTAATGTTTAAAGGATTTTCAGATTGTTCATCGTATCATCTTTCGCCCACATAAAACAGCAGAAAACACACAATCCGCATCAACTCGTATTTCGATGGACTCTTTACATTCGAGACGAGTACTTGAAGCATCTCTCTCTGGATGTGCAATTGACTATATATAATACGGTTCCATATAGTATATTCTATTATGTTGAAAAGCCCACACGAATCAGTGCTCCATCGTCACTGAAAATTATCTGTGTGTACTTGATTCCGAAAGAAAAAAATAATGGTAAAATAAAAGTCAGTCGGCAAAGTCGATTGTGATGCACGGTTCGCCGTTAACATGCAGCATCATTAATCTATTCCAACTAAAAACCTCCACATACACATCTCTTGCACGCTCTTATATACATCAATTACCGATCGTAGCTACATGCAAGTTTTTGTAAATGCACTCAAATCGACGGCGCGGGAGAGAGAGATAAAGAGAAAAGGAGATGAAACCATTACAGAGAGGCGTGCGCGCGCGCTCGTACGTACGACTGCCGCGCACAAAACGTTCACGAAGTGTACAAATAAAAGCGGTCGCATATCTGAACCTTACGTATTAATGTGCGGCTTGTCTTCTTTCTTTTATTTATTTATTTATTTTCAAACTTATCCAAAACGAAACAGAGACAAGTCATATTGTAAAATGTTCGCGTATACACTCATACCAACAGAGACAAGACACACACACACAGTTCGAAGACCAAACGAAATGTGAGTGATTCTCTCTTTCTCTTCCCCTTGAAGAACCGAAAAGTAAACGCAATGAGAAATGGTGCGATAACAAAATGAATCAAAACTTGAAGAAAAGTAACGACGCAACACATAGAGCGCGCACGATCGATGAACACCACATGAATGGGTAAACGAGATGGAAGAGGACAAAATAACAGAAAACAAAATAAAGGAAAAAACGAAAGAAATGAATAAAAAGTGTGTGTTTGCACCGAGAGATGAAAAAAAAACTGTACAGGCATAAGCAAAACGAAACGCGGGCCCGCACTCAAACTGACGACACAAACAAAGCAAAAGCAAGTTTTATGTATCATCCGAGAGAGCTATGCTGCTGGTGCTCGTGCTGGTGCTGCTGCTGCTTGTTTTTCGTTGTTGTTCACTTCGACTCACTCACGATCGTTCATTATGCTTCCAGTTGCGATTCGAATCTCCACATGAACCGAACCATTCAAACAACGACTCATCGAAACATTATTTTAAAAATAATTTTATGTCGCGGCCGCTACTTCAGTTTACAGTGTTTGTGCTCTGTTTAATGTTTCTCTGTCGTTGTTTGTTTGCCATTTGCTAACCGTTTGTTTTGGGCAACATTTGCAATTTGTTGAGTGATTTTCTTTTTCTATTCGCCATTTGATTGGTGTCTTAAGTGCAGTGTTATGTTTGACGGTCGAATTCTCACGTTTTCGCTACCGAACATTCAATTAATGCTTCAAATAAATGTTTTCGAATGTTTCGCTTTTTTCTGTTGTTGAGAAGGGAAAAACCCAATTTTTCGTGTTACCATCTAACAAAACAATACCGAGAAAGAAAGAAAAAAAAGAGCCAAATGGACCGTGCGAAAGGTGAAAGCATAAATTTCAATGATCTGATCTATATTCAGTGATTTCGGTTGATTTTTTGTGTGTTATTGAATAAAATATATATTAACCGATATAAAAAAAAGTAAAAACTGGCAGTGAAAGAAGAAAATCATCAACGATAGTACTTTCATCAGCGAATCTGGTCAATTTATGCATGAAAAACTTTTCAGTTGCCACAAAGTGTGTCTCTCCATCCACCCAAGTGTGTCTCTCGCTCAGTTGCAAATTTAAAATCACATCAATCTCTGAAAGTAAAAAAAAACGACCTTTTGATCGATGACGACGACTACGACTCAACGAGAAAACGGTCTGCAGCACACTATTCTCCAGTGACTTCGATAAAATTTAAACCACAATCTATTTCAGTAAGCCGAAGCTAATTCAACTTCGAACAGTGAATAAATGTGCTTTTTGATCATTAAAATTTCAACATCGTTTCAAATTAAGTGAACAACTCAACAAAACTTGTGCACACTAACGAACTAACGAAAAAAAAACGATTATGAACGTAAAATAAATTACTCCGCTAAACTCTATAAACTGTGCTCATTAAATTTCATGTGAAGGTAAACGGCGAACCGAGATACTTTTCAAGCTCGAAGAAAGTTTTCTAGTTTCAATCGACGACGACGACAAACTAAAAAAAAAACAAGTTGTTTTCTCCCAGATCAGTAGCCGATTGGTTATAGTGTGCATATGCACATTTTTGTTGTTGCTGTTCTCGTTGTGTCTGTGTGTAGCATACAGTTTCCGGTGCTTAGCTATTTTTCCTTCAATGTCAATCGAAACGAATCAACGACAACACTGACATTGCTGCGCAATTTCATTCTAACTCATGCGGTCGTTCGATTCAAGCTGAAACAAGAAATTCTTGGGAAAAATAACACGAAAGTCAAATTGCGATTGCTTTTATCGGAATTGAATCGAAAATTCATGAAGCATTAAGCGTAAAATGGCGTCATAGAATATTTTTAGTGCTTTTGTTCATGAATGATAAATTTTTTTTACGTTCTCGTCCCCTGTGCACACCATAAATGATAATTGTATGACTTTGGTTGTTGTGTCGTGGTTATTGTATGAGTATTTCGGGTAAATTCACTTCAAAATGACTGATAATGGCAGTAGAAAATTCGGTGTAATTGGCGTTTTGTTTTTGTGGGCATTCGAGGTATGATCGAATTGTTTCTTTGTTTTCGTAAAAAAACACCGTGATAACAAATTCCCTTCGTAGAACGCACAAATGCACTAACAATCTAAAATAAGACTTGATGATTTCTGCCTACTTTTAGTATCGTAATTCTAAGGAAAAAATACCATTTCTGATAACATGTTTTTTCGTTTCTGCCTTGTTTTTCTTCCACCTTGGTTCGACAGGCTGTTAAAGAGTTTATAGAAATTGTAAATAAGAAAATTGAGGGAAAAACGATTTCAACGTCGACCGCACTGAAATTCGTATTAGCTCGCAAACTGGATGTGCCACGTGCAGTGGCATTATTCGAACAGCATGTATTAATTCGGCGAGAGGAAGATCTTGATAACATCGAACCAATGTCAGACCCATTGCGCACGGAATTAGAAACTGGCAAATTCACAATACTAGTAAGTAGCATAGCCATTATTATTTGCACATTAAAGTCATTAAGAAGGTGGTAGCGACAAAATGGCAGAGCTACTGCTCTGCCTGTAAAATGGTCATTAAGTAAATGGTTTGTCTTTTTTTTAAAGCCGGGACGTGATGCAACTGGTGCAGCTATTGCCTTGTTCACCGCCAACTTACACAATCCAAAAGATGTGACACATCGTACAACGCTACAGGGCGTTATCTTTCAACTGGACGCAGCGTTGCAGAGTGTGGATACACAAAAAGCAGGCCTAGTCTTCATCTACGACATGAGCGCGTCCAAATATTCTAATTTTGACTATGAACTTTCACAGCGCATTTTAAATTTACTCAAAGTAAGTTCGACTTTATTCTCCTTCTCCACAGCTATTCTTTTCTTAGTTCTTTTACTGCATCTGGAAGTCATTTCGGTTCAAACGCGTTTCCTGTACGTTTAATGACTGTACGAAATATTATTAGAAGTTCATTCGAGCAAAAATATAGAGCCAAGAAGTTCGTAAAACTCAGCTCAAATTTATTGGAAATAAGTGTTTGTTTTTTTCTTCTGTTTCTGTTGAAAACTAGTTTCCGTACAATGTGAGGATCCGATTCGAATCGGCGCATGTGTAGATGAACTCAAAGATACCGTTTCCAAGCAAATCGTTTAAAAATCGCTTTTTTCTCTTCACCTCATGCGATTATTAGCAAGCGATTGTGTGTGTGTATTTTTCAATGTCTAAACTGTATTTCTTGGATTGAAAACTGAACGAACCGAAAAAAAATACCGAAAGAAAAAAACACAAACAAGATTTGCTTATAACATACACACGGCATGCAAAAAAAACACAATTCGCTTGATAATCCAAGAAATATCGTAAGCGTATCGAAACGATCTGAAAACGCTTGTTGACCGGTAAACAAATGATGCGCCGCGCGATACACATTTAATTGTGTGTATAAATTCACCGTTAAACGTCAGAGCCACCGTTCACCGCTGCTGTTCCTGTTTACTTCTCATGCCACGCCGCGAACACATTATATATATATCAATCGATTCGGTTTTATTTATTCTCATTTGTTGTTATGAATACTATGGTGGCGTTGTTGTTATTTTTCTGCTTAGTTTTTTTTATTACTTTGTATTTCGCTTCGATTATTACACAATATCTCTCTGAATCAATCGTATCGATTGGATTTTATGTGTTCGGTAAATATGTTGTTTTATTGCATACATCATTCATGAGCGCCGCTCGATCATGAAACGCATTTTTTGCTCATAGAGGAACGAGATTGAACGGCCAATAACCCCCTTCATTGAATCAAAAAAAAAAACAAATCTCTTCAATATCATTCACTTCATTTCATATTTTCGGACAAAAAGTGTCATGTGATGGGTTTTCATCGCATTCAATGGCACACTGCTCTTCTTTTGTATGGCATAGCTGCTCTTTCAATCAAAATTTTTTTCCACTTGAAGCATGAAATATTGTTTTTGGCACGGATTCCTAGTTAGCCATCAGAATTCGAGTGGCCGAATAGCCGACAAAAAATATAAATGAATTGAATCAAAATCTACTAAGAATGATGTTTGGAATGTGGAGCGAAAATTTATTGTGACGCATTTAAATGCTGAAAATAAATAAATATTTACTGAATAGCTTTTGTCGTTGCCGTTGCCGCCGTCGCCCGACTAAGAGTTTGTTTTGATATTTTTGTTTGTGTTTTTCCTTTGCCGAGAGCCATTTCCAAGAAATTTGCGTATAAATGCAAAACAAAACAAAAACTCCTCAATGAATTACGTTAATCTTTTTTACGACATAAATTTCTCGCAAAATAGTCGATGCTGACGTTTCAGGTTTAAAAAAAAAAACTTTTCCGTACATGAAAACCATTTTAAAGGAAACAGCCCGTTGAAATGTTAAATGCGTAGAAATTTGTTGGATGTGATGTACACATTTTTGTAGTTATTCATTTGTAATTCAAACAATTTTACATCGTGACACTTTTGATTACAATGAAATTCGATAAACATACCATGTGCCATATACGGTTAACACTTTTTTTTCGAATTTGCTGATGATTAATCACGAATGCCAAGAAATCGACCACCAGCTTGTTGGTTCGCTTCGGGACATATTTCCAATGAAGATCGTGCTTTACAGTACTCGGAAATGCGATCTCGGGGTAATAGTGTCGTTAGCCGTGATTAATTTACATAGATCGCATATAATTAACAATTGTGTTTATTGTTCGAGCTCGACGACTTCCGTTCATCCGGCTGGAATTTCGTTTGCGTGCGGAATGTGCAGTTGTCGTGTGTGTTAATTTTTGTTCTTTCATCTTTTCGCCTTCGTCTGCTCGATGCTTTTTCGGATGGGTTGTGGTGCTGCTGCTACTCGGTATGCATAGCTGCACTTGGTTTTTAGTGTCATTGCGCATCGATCAAACCCACATTTCACTTTCGAAACAGAAGCACGTACTACGAACGCAATGAAAAAAAAGAAGAAATCCCATCTATACTCGAACACGCACACACACTGCAGCGGCAACAGAACAAATTACACACACACACATTTTATGGAGTGTTGTAACGTGATTGAAGTGAAAAAATGCATGCCGCGAACAGGCCACTCAGACGGTTGTCGCATTGGAAAAGTATATGTTTTCGAGATGTGCAGATGCGTCATTTTAGAGATGATGCTTTATGGCGAAAATACCCATTATATCTCATTTGGGCAAAACGGTATGTGTTTGATTTATTATCGCCTCATTTCGATACGAATACACACAAAAAAACCAACCAGTTGGTGGGTTTCGCGTGCAGCTCGTATGCTAATTGGTTGGCATTTTTTCAATGACTGCACACGTTTTTCTCTCGCTATCTCTCTCCTCGCTCACTCTTTCGCTTCACTCAGTGACGTTATCTCCTCTAATATCGCCAATTATAAACATGTGCACATGATCAAATCAATAGGTCGACTGATTTAAAACGTGTTGTGATTAGTTTGCCGGAAACGTAATATTTTCAAGTTATTATGAACGGTTGTGCGACTACCGATTGTTTGTCAATGGCTTTATTTTTTATTATTTATTTCTTTATTTTGGCAAGATATAAAGCACATAAGTGTGTTCAAATATTCCATTCAAAATTCCCAATCCTGATCATAAGCAAATATTTATTTCACATAAAATTCCATAAGCTCACACACACAGAGCAAGCGATCGATCGAATGATCGTAGAGTGCCATTTATTTATCTTTTTTTTTTTTGGACACATTTAATTAGAATATTCATGTATCAATTTGCCAGTCGTGCGATTCACGTTTCGATTATATATTGAGCATTTGAGCCGTAAATATCAATTGTGATCATTTTTCGTTGTTGTTGTCGTAGGCGATCCAGTCCCGTGTGTAAAAAAATTGAATTGATGATTTCACATGTCCAGTGAAAGTTTTCCGGTTTCTACGTAAACTTATTGATTTGATTTAAATGAGAAACATTTGAATAAACTGTTTCAATTGAATAAGAGAGAGTTTGGATGTTCAATCATGAATGTTGGGCATTTTCGTCAAATCAATCACGTAATTTGGTCCAATTCAGTCGAAAATATTTAAAAAGTATTTCCACACGGGTTTCGCGCTTCACTGCTCATTTGCCAAATACAATGTGCCCTGGCCATAAAATAGTCAATACGTTTGTTTTTTTTTGCACCAGTTCCCAAGTATTTGTGCGGTCGAATTCATTCCTGAGCTTATTTGTGTGCCTCGTGTATTACCGTCGTCGTTGTTTTTTTTTCGTGTAAAAATATAAATAGTCGATTGATGAACATTTCCACATTTAAACGTTTGTTTACACATTTTCGATCAGTTGTCACTGTGTGTTGTTTTGTTCAATGTGCTCTCTCTCTCTCTCTCTCTCTCTCTCTCTCTCTCTCTCTCTCCACGACCGAAGTGATCCGATCCAGCACAAAGACAACAACACTATAACCGCGTGTGTAGTAAACAAATTGAGAAACATTTCGTCGGTGTGGTGGCGTGTGATCATTCATTGGTTTATTCCGCGCACGAGCCGCGCTCGCCACAAAATACGCATTTAATACGAAATTGTTTCTGAAATATGTTTTTACTTTTCGCTCTCGCTCTCTGTCCCATTCGCGCTCTTTGTCGACACAATTATACCGATTTCCGAAGAGGCCTCAGTTTGCATTTGTCGTTTTTACAAGACGCACGTACAGTGAGCGACGACGACAACAACGACGACGTTGCTCAAGCGTTTTCTTTTCAATATTTTTTCGAAAAAAAATAAGCGTTTCGGTTTTGTGTGAAAAAAAAAAATTGTGATAAAATAAACGGTCCATTCAACAGTGAGATCAAATATTTTGTTTTAGCGAATGGTTTCGATTTCAAAAAAGGTGAATTTTTCAGTGGAATAAAGCAACAAAAAAAATATTATTTATAGATGCATTGAACAACATTTCGGCTCGTCGCTCCCACTTCATTTTCTTTTTTTCTTCTGGGTCTATGCAGGAAAAAGAGAAGAATGATTTAGTGATCAGCAGCTAGTTGTTGGTCATATTGTTTTTTTTCTCTGTTCATTCGTAAATTACTCTCTCTCTCTCTCTCTCGGTGCTTTAGCATTTCATTGCATTGAATCGAATTTTGCGAGAGTCGGTCAATGTGTTGCTGTACATTAACGTAATCGCCTCTTCCGTTCCACTGTGCTCAACTGAATATTAACGATGTATACGTAGTTTTTTCTTCTCTCTTTGTTTTAATGAAGTGATATTTATTTAAGCCAAAAACGTCTCAAAAGAATTGAATTGGCCCAGTCGACTATTAATACCATAATGGACACAATTTGACATTGTTTTTCACTCGTCGTTCATTCTCAGTTTGTCATTGAGAAAGAAACATTTGTTTGCGTGTACTTTTGTGTGCAGGTCCATTTTGAGTACACACATATTTCGTGTTTGGTTTGCGCTGAAAAATCGCTTGATTCGCATCAAGATAAAGGAATAATTTTTTTTTCCTTAGAAGAGAGGGAGGGAGAGAGAAACAAAATAAATTTCGTTCAATTTAACATTGGAATAGCAGTTAGTTTATGTGCTGTGAAAACAATCGGAATAAACGATCTACTGAAAGAAACAAAAAATTAATGAAAAAAACGAAGCAAAAAAAGAAGTCGAGAAATGGAGTAGTAACTAGTAGACCCAAGCGATTCGTGAAGGGTATGCGTAATTAAAGTTTAAAGTCGCGAGCGTGAGCTCAAATCAAACATCTAATCTAAAGAGCTATCAAAAGTGATTCATTATAGATTGAGCTCAGCTGAGTGTGTACAAGTGCCTACACGTTGAACG